TGGCCTGAGGGGAAGGGGAGTTTTGAATCACCAGTGGTCTTCAGGGCATCCGATGTCAGCCCCCTTGTCTGTGATCTCTGCTGAGGACAACAGGCTCAGGCCACGGGGCTGGGATCACACAGGTTTCCTGCACAGTGGGACCTGGCCTTAGGTTTTGAGGCACCTGGGGTCTCCTGGCATCAGGATGAGGGGAGTCATGCACCCTTCCCACCCGTGCTCTGCCGCCTGTGTTCTTAGCATCCCCACCAGATATGGAAGGTCTCTTCAGCCTCATGTAAGTCCTTCCTTCCCCGTATCTCACCCTCTGTATTAGTCCTCTGGTGGCCCATGGCCCTCCACACCATTGTTTTAGCCCAGGAGGCTGCATACTCTTTCTATAAAAAGCCAGATAGTAAATGTGTTTGGCTTTGCAGATCATAACAACTGACTCTGCCTTAGGAATCCAAAGGCAACCACAGACTCTGTGGACACAGTGGGCGTGGCCATCTCTCTATATAAAAGCCTAAGCTACCGATGGACTGGTCAGTAGCTATAATGCGCACTGACCACCAGGGGGCAGACTCTTAACGCAGGAGCTGCTGAGCTGCGTGACTTGGCAGCTGTGGTTCTCGGGTGATGCAAGCTGAACCAGAGAGGAAGCAGCCCAGTTCCGGGGTGTGTCATCCGAGACCCGCCCTTGCAATCCGCAATCCGGGACCGTTGGGGGATGTCGAGAGCCGGTTTCGGCCCGATCCCCCCCCCCCCCCCAGGGACCCCACCAGTGCACGGCCTCTAGTGTGTCAGTAAGATTTTATTGATAAGCACTGAATTTCATGTCATTTCCACATGTCATGAAATATTCATTTGATTTTCCCCCCTCCAGGTATTTAAAAATATGAATCCATTCTTAGTTTGTGGGCCCTACTATTCTAATCTCCATTTTCACCAGCCCCTGATGCTGGGCACAGAGCTTGTGTTGCCTTTAATTAACTTGGTACAAACATCTCAGCAAATTTTGCAAGTGAACCCATGAGGTAAATTCACAGTAGAGGACATACTTGATTAAGGGGGGGATTATTTTGCTAGACATTGCCAAAGTACTGCCTCAGAAATTAACCGTTTATTTCCCCTGGCACCAGGACTGATCATGCTGCTGAAAGCTCTGCTTGTGTGATAGTGCTTTTCTCTGAGCCTTTTCTTCATTCATTTTAAAGCCGTTTGGCATTCCTTCAGTGATTTGTCTTTTTGTCCCCTTTACCGGTTTTTCTATGAGGAAGTTGGCTTTTTTCTTGTGAAGGACCAGATTTGCTTTTTACATAGGAAGGACCTTGCCCTCTGCCTAGTGCCCTCTGCCCGTGAGATCCAGATGTGGCCAAGTAGGGAAATGTGTCTTGATTTAGATAAAAGATTAAGTCCCTTCCTAAGAGTTCCTGGCCTGGTGGGGCAGGGCCAACTCCAGGTGATGGGGGACACTCAGGGTGGGCGGAACAGGCTTCAGCTTTGGGTTTAGCAAAACAGAAGAGGTCAGGCAGAGGGTAAGGCTGGGAGGTGCTCTGGGCAGAGAGAACAGCATGTGGGAAGGCTCAGAGCCAGCAGTCAACTGGGGAGGGGACAGGTGGGGCTCTGCATGCCCAGCAAGGAGCTGGCTCTCCAAAGGTGATGAAGGGAGGGACCCCCAGAGTTGTTCTCATCTGTCCCCTTACTGTGCAGTCAACAGAAGACGGAGCTGCCAGTCACGGAGAATGTGCAGACGATCCCACCCCCATATGTGGTCCGTACCATCCTTGTCTACAGCCGCCCACCCTGCCAGCCCCAGTTCTCCCTGACTGAGCCCATGAAGGTGACTGAGGCCTGGGAGAGGGTGGCGAGACACTAGGAGGGATTTCCTGAGCACAGGACTGGGGCACCTGCTGGCAGGTTCCCAGAGTCTGAGGCAGACGCTGGGGAATTGTCATGGGGCACAGGGTGACTGAGTCTCAAAGGCCTGTGTTCTTCACCTGCAGAAAATGTTCCAGTGCCCATATTTCTTCTTTGATGTCGTTTACATCCACAATGGCACCGACGAGAAGGAGGAGGAGATGAGCTGGAAGGTGAGGCCGTGGCAGGTGTGGGCGGCAGGTGGGTGTAGATGGGACGTCTTAGAACCCATCTACCCTGGGTCTCGGGGATCCCAACTTCTGGCTCCTGGTCATTCGGTCATATGACAACCATTTCCACGTGGTCTGCTGGGAGCTCAGGGGGGCTGTTGGGACGGGGGCCTGCTTCTCTCTCCCTGCTTTTGCCTTGGCTGTGCCCTCTTCTTGGAGTACCCTTCCCTCCCTGCCTACCCAGACTCTGCTGGTCATTCACGTCCCAGCCCGGAACTAGCTGTGGGGCTTCAAGTGGGCCACTTACTTCTCTGAGCCTCAGTTTACCAGCTGAACAGGGAGGGGTTGAGGCCAGCTCCTACTCATACCTCAATATTTAAACCAAAAGTGTCTATTGAGGGCAGCCTTCCCTGCCCCTCAGGAAGATCAGCATGGGGACTGGGGGGTAGTTTACTAGCCCCCCTTGGAGCCTCCAACTGACTTCAGTTTGGAGGCTCCAAGGCTGAGACCTGTCGGTGTCCCTAACACGGGGCGGGGAGCAGGGAGTGTTTGCTGAAGGCAGGAATGTTTTCTGCCTGGAAAACTCTTCACCCTTCAGAACCTACCCCTGGTGCCTCCTCCTCTGGGAAGCCCTCCCGGGGCAAGGATGGCCTGGCAGGGAGCCCTTGCTTGAAGAGCCCCTCCCTGGCCCCACAGGACATGTTTGCCTTCATGGGCAGCCTGGATACCAAGGGCACCAGCTACAAGTATGAGGTGGCACTGGCCGGGCCAGCCCTGGAGCTGCACAACTGTATGGCTAAGCTGCTGGCTCACCCGTTGCAACGGCCCTGCCAGAGCCATGCCTCCTACAGCCTGCTGGAGGAGGAGGAGGAAGCCACTGAGGTTGAGGCCACTGTCTGAACCTTCCCTGTGCGTCCAACTTGGTACCACTAAACCTAGAGTGTTGGTTCTTAAACTCCGCTCCGTGGGACCCCGGGGGACTTCAAGGAAGCGCTTGGTTACTTCGGAGCCCTGGAAGGAAACCTGTTATTCCAGGAAGCAACCCAGGACTGTGGTCACCCATGATTCCCAGTCCATATTTCAGTCCCCAGTTTGCCAATTGTAATGTGTTCTTCCCTGTGTGATTTTTGTCACCAGAATAAAACCTGAGAAATCTCTAACCGAGGTCCACACCAGTCGTCTTGTGTTAATTAGGATCTTCGTGGTTGAAGGTGACAGAAAACCCACCCAATGAACAGCAAGGGGAATCGCTTGGTTCTGGCGGATAAGCCAAGGTGCAGCTTCAGGCTTGCCTACATCCAGCTGTTCAGACATTCCGGGGGGCGGAAAAATACCTACCAAAAGGGGCTCCTGGTGGCTAATTGGTCTCATGTTAAAAAACAAAAGAAACCCAGGAACCTTTGCCTCTCATGCAAACCCAGCTTCAGGGAGAAAAACTATCTGCCTTCTGCACTGAAATGCCTGCCTGCCAGCATTGTGTTCCTGCTGGTGAGCCAACTCTTATAAAGGAATTCCTGGAATCATATTTCAACCAACAGGATGGAGATAACCCCTCTGTCCAATCGGAGCTGAGGAACTATAGTCTCTGTTAGCATCTTTAAAATAATATATATATTATTGATTTCAGAGAGGGAGAAATAGAAACATCAATGATGAGAATCACTAATTGGCTGCCTCCTGCATGCCCCACACTGGGGATCGAGCCCACAACCCCGGGCATATGCCTTGATGGGGAATTGAACTGTGACCTCCTGGTTCTTAGCTCTGTTAGCATCTTTGATGAATCAGAATGGCTCCACTCCTTAGTGCTTTTTGGGCCAATCAAACTGATGATTTGGGGTACTAATTTGCATGAGAACAGGCTAATTAAGGGTCAGGGGCTGGGGCTTCCCTATATAAGTTTGATTATGGCTGGGCAATGCTTGTTCCTTTTCCACCAAAGACTGATTCCTTGGCTGGAGCTGAAACAATTTGCCAGAGGGCTGTGTTGTTCTATTTCGAGATGTTTGCTCTGAATAAAGTATCTTCTTTCACTGCACCCTACATTGGGGATTTCTGTTGGCATTGACTTGGCACCATGACGATTGGTTGACAGTTGTGACCACTGCCCAACCCCCCTACTGCTGGCCTTGCCTGGGTCATGGGCCAGAGCTCTGGGATGATCAGATGGTTCAGGCCTGGATCAAGCCTCTCCTGAGAAGGGGAGGACTACAGGTTCCAGGATATAGCGTGGATGCTCCCCAGAAGGGAGACAAGACAGGCACAACAGGGCCACTACTCAACTATCTGTCTGGATCATGAGCAACAGTGAAAGAAGTTTACCAGATAGATTCTCAGTTCCATAGAAAATTAAAATGGCCTTATTGAGCAACAGCTTTCCTTCCCACAGCATTTATTGGGCACCCGTGTGCCAGGACCCTGTGATGAAACACTGGCTCAACATCACACCAGCCTGGAAGGGATTCTCCCATTTTGCAGATGGGAACACTAAGGCCCAGAGCCCCAAAGGCACGACCTCCTGGCTCCCCGAGACTGCAAACAGGCGACGCAGAGCTAGAGGCGGGAGCTGATAATTAAATTTGCGCGCTAATGGAGGCCTCTTCGGCGTGGGCACCTCCAAGTCACCTGGTCGTAGCTCCGCCCCCTTCAGCAGGATGTGTCCGCGTTTTGAGACCAGAAAATGGCACACCCGGCGGCCTCCACCCGCCCAGGCTCTCCCTGAGCACCGCTCGAGGTCGCGGACCTGAGTGGGCACTGAAGCTCGAATCCCAAAGTGTGCCAGGCAGGTGCGGCGCGGGGCAGCCTGGCTGGGTACCCTCCGGGGCACCCGGGTGCTGAGACCGGAGCCCGGGGCGGGGCGGCGCGTGCGCACAAGGTCACCGCGGGAAGTTTGAACCTGTCAGGCTGGGCCGCGGGGCTGGGGACAGCGCGGGCATGGGCGCCGCGGCGGAGCTGGCTTGGCGGCTGCGGGCAGCGCTGCAGGAGGAGGAGCCGCAGTGAGGACGGGACCGGGGCGGGCGGACCGGGGCAGGGGGCGAGGGTGGCGGTCCACTCTGACCCCCTGATCGCAGGGCTGTGGAGGAGCTGCTGCGCCGCGGCGCGGACCCCAACCTGGTGCTAGCGGACGGCGCGGCAGCTGTCCACCTGGCGGCGGGAGCCCGGCACCCACGCGCTCTGCGCTGCCTCAAGGCTCTGCTGTGTCGAGGCGGGAACCCCAACGTGCGGTGAGGCGGGTCTGGGCTCTGAGCGGGGCCTTCCGGGTAGGGAAGGGGGCTCCCCAGTAGGAAGGCGGGGTCTCCCCAGCCGGAAGGCGTGGCCTCGGAGTCCCGGAGAGTGCATCCCACGTTCCAAGGGTGGGGATTCGGCAGCCCAGGGAGGAGCTTGTGGAACTAGGGGAGGGATCCTGAGAGCCCAAGGGCGAGGGCGAGGGTCCCAGAATGAGGGTGAGGGATGGGGTTGCGCTCGGGCCAAAATGGGGATCGAAGTTTCGGGTCCAGGGGTGGAATCTCTAGGGTCAGAGAGCAGAGATTTGAGTCCCAGGCCGAGGGCGTAGGATCTAGGTTCCGAGGGTGTCTCGGGCTGGAGGGTGGAGATGGGGGACAGAGTCCGAGGACACCCCTTGGCTCCTGCCCCAGATCGGCCGAGGCGCTGACACCGCTGCACGTGGCCGCCGCCTGGGGCTGTAGCCGCAGCCTGGAGCTGCTGCTGAGCCAGGGAGCCGACCCCCGGCTGCTCGACCAGGTGAGGGACCTGGAGGAGTGTGGGGGGGGGGCGCGGGGGGGGGGGGCCCAACTGGGAAGGGGGAGGAAGGGGGGAAAAAGGGCTTTGGTGGTGATCGCGCCTCCGCAGGATGGACTCCGGCCACTGGACCTGGCAGAACAGCAGGGGCACCAGGACTGTGTGCGCGTCCTGAGGGAGCTCCCAAAGCTGACTAGGACCCCTCCGCGGACCCGGTTAGAGACCCAGGAGCCGGAGCCTACGCCCAGCGGTGAGTGAGGCCTGTGCGGAGACGCGGCTTGGCCTAGGGACCAGCTTATCGTGTCTCTCACTGATTTCCACCGTCTCCCGCTGGTCCTGACTGTCTCACGTCCAGTGTCTCTGGTCAGCTCTCGCTGCCTTCACTCATTCTCTTTTCCCTTTGACTCACTCCAGCTACCTGTTGCTGATCCAACTCCCATCTCTGCCCCGCCCCCGCCCCCCTCTCTGACCCCAACTCCCATCCTCTGCTGCAGGCTCAGCCCTCAAGGGAAAGGGGCTGGATGCCAGCCCCTCTGGACCTCCCAGTGTGATGCTGGACTCCACGGGCCTGGGCAGCAGGGACAGCAGGGACAGGGACCTGGAGGCTAGCCCTGGACCCTCCAGCCTCCTCGCCTGCCCTGAAGTTGCTGACAAGGATGGCAGCTTGGAGTCCTCCCCTGGGTGCTGGGACTGCAGCTCAGATGCCTCCTTCGTCACAGCAGTCGAGGCTTCTGAATCCAAGGACCCAGCCCCGCATACATACCCCCGGGCTGGGCCATTGCCCAGGCAGCAACTCCTGCCTCATATCCGACCATCCCAGAGGAGGCTAAAGTCTCCGGACACCCCACAGCCGGAACATGGAGCCATCATGACGGACAAGGAGGCCGAATTAAAAGCCCTCCTACAGGCCCTGACTCTGACCTCCCCATCCCACACGTCCCTCCCAGAGAGGAGCCCAGCCCACAGCCCCCCTCCGCAACCGCTGCCTGGACCCCTCGACTTCCACTTCCTCACAGATGACCAATCGTCCCCGGACAGTGAGGGGGGCGCCCTCTGGCTGACGGAGGACGAGGTGCATTCCACAGGGGGCAGGGACCCAGTCCGCTCTGGCGGGTGTCTGCCAGTCATGTCTGACCTGGAACTGCTGCAGAGGCTCCGGGCTCTGGGTGAGAGCCCAGGCCCCGTCACGCCCTTCACCCGGCCACATTACCTCCGACGACTCCAAGAAGCCCAGGCTGCTCCTGGTTAGTCCCTTCCGGGCATCCGGAGACTCCCGGCTCTCCGTGCCACTTCTCTCTTCATCTCTGGGAACCACCCCTTCCTCTGTCTCTCTTGACTCAGTTTCCCCTCCCAGGCCCAGACTTTTCAGGGCACAGCCCAGAGCTGACTGAGGCCCTGAGGACAGGCCGAATCCCAGACGCCCAGGCAGATGAGGATGCACTTGCCCAGCAATTTGAGCAGCCGGATCCCAGCAGAAGGTGGCGGGAGGGGGTAGTGAAGTCCAGTTTCACGTATCTGCTGCTGGACCCCAGGTACTCCGAAGTGGGAGCTGGGCACTCTGGGGTTGGTTCCTACATACTGCACGTCCTCCGAGGGGAACTGACCCCTCTCTCTGGTCCTAAGCTTCATCTAGAAAAGGCAGTTGGAACTAATTCAAGCCGCTGAGTGTCTTTGGGCGCTGCCTTATAAACTGTGGGTCACTGGATGTGGGTTGTATATACCCTGTGACCTTAGAGAGTTTCTCTAGGGCTACTCTTGTCACTCTTTCCTCTTTGAGCCAAGCCTTTTCATCCAGGGAGACTCGGAACCTGCCAGCACGAGCCTCCTCACTAACTCCAGCTGAATGCCTTCGGGCTTTCGTCCACGCCATCTTCTATGTGGGCAAGGGGACCCGGGCCCGGCCCAATGTTCACCTCTGGGAGGCCCTTGGCTACCGTGGGAGGTCAGGAAAGCAGGTATGAGGATAAGTACCAGGGTCAGGGCAGGGACAGCCAGGCCGTGGGCAGGTAGAGGAAGGAGGGAATTGGGAGGCAGACCCCTGACCTTGCCCCGGCCCCCTAGGCCTGCCCCAAAGTGCGCCAGATCTTGGACATTTGGGCTAGTGGTCGTGGAGTCGTGTCCCTGCATTGCTTCCAGCATGTGGTCGCTGTGGAGGCTTACACTCGAGAGGCGTGTCTTGTGGAGGCTCTAGGTGGGTGCCTGGCTTGTGGGGGGAAGGGTCACAGGAAAGGCACTTGCTCTGCCAATTCCCTCACCCCTGCCCTCTCAGGGCTGTTAATTTGTTCAACGAGCAATTATTGAGCACCAATGATGTACCTGCATATGCACATATTTTGCTCCATGGATTTATACCTGCTTAAGGGGAATACACAGTGGGTTCACTGTCACATTTCTCTACTGGAATTCACTGAGGTTACCCCTGTGACCTCATTCCCAATCTCTCCAGGGATCCGGACACTGACCAACCAGAAACAAGGACACTGCTATGGAGTGGTGGCGAGCTGGTCACCCAGCCGCCGCCGCCGCTTGGGAGTACATCTGTTGCATCGCGCTCTCCTTGTCTTCCTGGCTGAGGGCGAGCGAGAGTTGCGACCCCAAGACATCCAGGCCTGTGGCTGAGCACTGGGAAATTGCCCATCCGGGCTGGGTGGAGGTCAGGGTGTTTGAATGTTCCAGCTGCCCTGTGCTGAAAGCAGCCCTCCACCTCCGGTTCTAGAAGTCTGCGGGGGGAGGGGAGGTGGAATGAGAAGCAGGGAAGACCTCCCCCTCAAGCTAAGGGAGGACTCTGTTACAGATGGAACTGCTGGGGAGGTAGTGAACTCCCCATCATGGGAGGAGAACAAGTGGACCAGAAGGTTCTTTGAAACATTTGGTACTTTGGAACTTGCCAGGGCTTTGGCGGTTTGGGCCTGTCTGTGTAGACAAAGTCCACTTTGATCTTCCAGGCACAGGGGCCCACACTGGGCTGGGAGCTTCCTCAGCTACATGAAGGGAAGCTATCCAGTTCAAGAGCTGGGTCCTGCTGCTGCCAGAGGTGGTACCTCAGACCAGTCACTTGTCTGTCTGAGCCTCAGTGTCCTCAGTAGGGACAGTGAGGTCCTGCCTCAGGGGATTGTGGGGATCGGATGGGACTCAGAGCCCTGCCCTGAGCCAGAGGTGACCCAGGTGGAAAGTCTCCTGGGTAAGGGCAGTGCCCTGAGTTCTCAAGGTGCCAACTGTGTCTGGTGATAGGCCAGGGCTAGGGAGCTGGTGGGTTGTGGGTATAAGACACCATCCCTGGGGGTCACTGTGCCACGCAAGCTTCCTGGCATTGCTTCTCTGAGCCTGTTTCTGCCACCATAAAATGGGATCAGTAACCCCAAGTTCTGGTGGTGCTCTGTGATTTCAGATTAGTCACATTTGCAAAGAGTTTCAGTAAGATGCCAGGCTGTGGCGCTGGCGAGGTGCTGGCGGGATCATTTAAGTTTTCCAGAAGTTGCTTCTTCAGAGCGTCCAGTGCGTTAGGGACTTGGGGAAATGGGCTGCCTCATTGGTTTCGCTGTCTCCTCCTCATTGCAGCTTCGGCTAACCAGGTTCTGTAGTTCGACTCTAACCTGGACGGAGGTTCACCCACTCAGGTTCCTCCACTTTAGAGCCCATGATGCGACCCCCCACCCCACCCCCGCTCCCCTCCCAGCCTCCCGAGGGGGCCTGGGCTCCCCATTCTAATGGAACTGAAGAAACCTCTCTCTGAGCCGAGCAGCTTCCCAAACACCAAGCCTCCTGATAAAGTGACAGCAATGAAAACGGTGTCATCTACCCAGGAATGCGCAAACAGGTCGCTAGGAAAGAATCCAGAGACCTCCAAAATCCCCAAAGAGATGGGCTTGGTCTAACGGAGTTTCCCAGCCCCTGCTCCATTGATGCTCGAGCCCAGTTCCTTCGGGGGTGCGGGCTGTCCTGTGCATCGCAAGGCGCCAGGAGGCATCCCTGGACTCCACCCACCAGGGGTCACTATGGCCCTCCACCTCCCAGATGTGGTCCAACTGTCTCCAGAATTTCCCAAGGGACAGCTGTGCCCCTGGTGAGAGCCACTGGGCTAAAGTGGCGCATAAACCAGTGGGGAAAGGACCCAACGGCAGTAACCAAGGGGGCAGTTGTCTCCTGCCGCCATCCTCACAAACCGCCAGCGTACCTAGATATACAAACAGGATAAAACACAGAGGAACAGGAGCATGGCCACGGGGCAGGGAGACCCTTCTGCTGGACAGGAAATGATTTGGTGGCTTCAGAATAAATACCTTCATGACAAAAGCCACCCTAAACCAAGTTGAAAGATAAAATGGGACAGCAAGAGGCACTGACTTGCTGTGTGACTTGGGGTGAAGGGGATTCAGTGAGCTCAGCACGGGGCCTTGTATACAGCTGGCACTCCATTATGGCTCCTCTAATCCCATGCGACATCCGGTGACCCTCACCTCAGCCTCCATGTGGACCTCTTCCTCCCCTACAGCGACAAGGAGTTCATTCCCCCCGACTTTCTTCCTTCTGCTCTGGGAATACTGCCCGAGCAGCCCAGTGTTCTGAGGAGGAAGGGGAAATTGGGGAAGCCATCCTGGAAGGGCAGGCACCTGCATCAGCCCAATTTGCAGATGGGGAAACTGAGGCTCGGGGGAACCCCCCTGCCCTATGGTCAGCCAGCACAGGTCCGGAGGCTTGGATTGTCACTTCTTTTTATTGAGTTACAGGTTGAGATGTGCAGATTCTGTGGTGCCAGTCCCCCCATCCCTGCCCCCTTAGACGACAAAAGCTACCAACGCCAGGAAATGGGAGTGGAGGGTCTTGGGTAATGGGGCGCCCCCCCCTTCAGGGTCTCTGGATTAAGCATGGCTAACATGTAAGACAATGGGGTGGGTGTCGCCTCAACCATGACTATGGCCTTGGCTTTGATGGGCAGGGGGCTTCTGTACAAGGTCATCCTCTGCGAGAGTCCCTGCTACGGGCAGGATGGGCCCCAGGTTGGCTGGGCCCCACAGGATGCAAGCGGAGCCTGAGTGTCCACCCGGCTCCCTGGAATGCCACGCCCAGCCAGCCAGCCGAGGGGCGTCTCCCCAGGCCGACCCCGTCCACCAGAGCTGACGGCCTGCCCAGATATCCTGGCTGCAGACCCAGCAGCGCCGGCTCCTGCTCTTCCTCAAGGCCCTGCTGGCCCAGCAGCTACTTCTTCTCAGGAGGCACAGTCAGGGCACTAGGCGGGGGCTCGGGCTCCCAGAGCAGAAATTCATGGAGCAACGTGTTGACCGTCTCTGGACACTCCAGCATCACCATGTGGCTGCCTTCATCGATGAGCTTCAGGAAGGCCAGAAGCAGGATCTGTAGAGGACAAAGGCTCAGGGCACACACAGCTGGCGGCTCTGTGACTCCCTGCTAACCACCTACGGCCTGCAACATGGGGAAGGCCCTCCTGAAGTCTACCTCATTGCTGCACTTTCATCCAAGGGGGCTGGGGGATAGCCTGTCACCCAGCTGGAGCCCAACTGGATTTCTCAGCCCCAGCACGACTGACATTTGGAGCCTGATTTTTCTTTGCTGGAAGGCCATCCTGTTTATTGCAGGGTGTTAAGTAGCATTCCTGGCCTCCTCCCCACCTCTCCACCCCTAAGTGCAACGACCAAAAAAGTCTGCAGGCATTTCCAAGTTTCCCTTGGGGCTGGGGGAAGGGAGCAGAATCCTCGCTGGTTAAGAACTGCTGGTCCAGCCCTAGCCTGTTTGGCTCAGTGGATAGAGCGTCGGCCTGTGGACTGAAGGGTCCCAGGTTCGATTCCGGCCAAGGGCACATGCCCGGGTTGTGGGCTTGATCCCCAGTAGGGGGCGTGCAGGAGGCAGCCGATCAATGATTCTCTCTCATCATTGATGTTTCTATCTCTCCCTCTCCCTTCCTCTCTGAAATCAATAAAAAGAAAATATATTTTTTTAAAAAAAGAAAGAACTGCTGGTCCAGAGCTATTCCAAGTGCTAAGGACCCTAAGACCCCTTTTTGGCAACCTCTGATCTAAAGACCTCCTGGCCTGCTCTCCCTGAATCTTGTAGCCGACCCCACTCACTGGTCACTTATACAAATCCCAGCTGTAAAGAGTGCCTTTTTATGTGCAGGGGGATAGTGCATAATCCTAATAGCTGGGCAGGGCAGCCCTACTTTCTGGATTTCTCTCTCTAAGCTCCCATGTCCCTGGGGCTGAAAAACATGGCTGAGTCTCCCTGGGTTGCACAAGGGGGTCTGGGGTACAGTGGCCAACGTGCTGAGCCCCTACCTCAGCCATGCGCTGGTCTTCTTCCACCGGAACAAACTTGTCATGCATGCCATGGACGAGCAGGACCGGCACAGTGAGCTCCGCATGATAGACCTCGTCGCCCTCGGGCCAGTACTGGCCACTCATCATGGCTCGCAGCACGAAGGACGACACGTTGAATGCATTGCCCTCCTTCAGTAGCTGCTTCTCTTTGGCCCCTTGGCGGGCGAAGCCGGCCCTGGTGGTAGGGACGCACTGCTGGAGTCCTTGTGCCATTGGCCCACCAAGGGTGTCCCCCCACGCCAGCCCCAGCCATTACAGTTTCCCCTCCCACACAACTCAGGGGGGTGCCAGGGTCTGCCAGGACTGGGGGTCACTCACTTGAGGAAGCTCCAAGCCAGGCAGGGTGACAGGCAGTGCAGGACACACGTGGGCATGTTGAAGATGGAGCAGAAGCTGGGCTCCAGTGCCGTGGGGCCCCCGCCGTTGATCATGATGACCTTATGCACCAGGTCTGGGTACTCGTGCGCCAGGAACGTACAGAAAGAGACACTGCCCAGTGGGTGGGTGGGGGTTGAAGGGTGGTGGTCAGCAGGGTGCAGTGAGGGGGTTAATGTATACATCTTACCCAGAGGCAGGTCCTTGAAGGCCAAGATTTCCCCCCTAGGGCCCATGGACATTGAGTGGGGATGAGGGATGGGTTGGGCATTTGAATGTTCTGAAATTGTGAGGTGTGTGTGTGCTGAGGGTAGAATTTTTTTTTTTTTTAAGAATTCGAACTTAGAACTTTCCATAGATCCCCAAGGTACCATGACCTCCAAAGGGGTAAGAGTTACTTATTGCCAATTGTTGAGAAGCAACCTGATTAAACAAACATCCCTCCCCTTATGCAAGGTGGAAGGGTCTGCCTGAGGAGCCCCAGGTCAGCTCCTCATTCCTTCTACGGAGGACCACTTTGTTTTTGTAAACTAAATTCACAATTTTGTAAATTTATAAAATATTTTGTAAAATTTTATTGGAACACAGCCGCCCCGCTTGTGTACAATTATGGCTGCTTTCCTGCTATGGCATTAGAGTTGTGAAGTTACAGCAGAGACGGATGGATGATTCACAAACCTAAAATATTTACTATCTGGCCCTTTAAGAAAAAGTTTGCCCGTCTCTACTATAAAAAGGGATGATGGGACGGGCAGAAGTTGGGCGGACCTGACTGTGCCAGTGACTCACTGAACGCCCTTGGGCAGGATGCTTAACCCCTGAGCCTCCATCTCCACACCTGTGACAAAGTAACTATGCTGACCTCATAGCATTGTTATGGGATCACAGGAGCTAGCACGCCAGCGAGTGATCATTTAATTGGAGAAATCATTAGCATGAGCATCCACTTTGGGGGTTGTGATCATATAAACAAATAAGAGCTCTTACCTCCCAGCCTGGCTTCCTTTCTTTCAGAAGTTTATGTGACACTTCTTTTTCTTGTCTAATTGCATAGGCTACAACCACTAAAACAATTATTCTCAACCTGGCTGGCTGATGGGATTCTGCCTTTCCTTCTGGATAAAGGAGGGAGTGGTACCCTTTGACAGTGACCAGGCACCCAGGCCCAGAGCCTTCCATAGAGTGAACTCTCATCTAAATGCTAGATGATATTATCTATCACTCCTTCAAGGGAGAGTGAATTACAGCAAACTGCCTTGTAAAGAGAATTTATGGGATTCCAATGAGCCCTTCCTTGGGGCCCTTGGGATCTCCAGGGCAAGCAATTTTGAACTTAGTTGAAGACATTGGTTCTCAGCCAGGGATAATTCTGCCCACCAGGGGAACTTTGGCAGCATCTGAAGACATTTTTTGTCACGATCATCACTAGACCACGTGCTAAGAGGTCAGAGATGCGGCTAACCATCCTACAGGGCACATGAAAGCCCCTCACAGAAAAGAATTACTGGACCAAAAATGTCCACAGTGAGAAACACTGCTTTGAAACAATGTTAAACAATAGCACTGGTGGTAGGGATCCCTGCCTTGTTGCAGATGTTAATGGGATCTTTCAACGAGGAAAATCAGTGTTTTGTGATGGGGGTGTCCAGCCTCTGTCAGCCCCCACCCCTGACCCCCACCTTCCCCCCCCAGCATTGGCTCACCCGTAGGAATGCCCAATGAGCACATTTCGCTTCTTGGCATAGCGCTTGAAGATGGCACGCATGTCCTCTGCCAGCGCATAGAAGGTATAGGCTGCAGCCACCTGGGGCGCCGAGCTGGCCCCATGACCGGCCAGATCCGGAGCCACCACCTCATAGCCCAGGCGCACAAAGAAGTCTAGTTGCTCCTTCCAGATGGCCAGGGAGCCGCCAACACCATGGATGAAAAAGAGCACCACATCGGCCTGTGTGCCCTTGCAGCTGGTGATCCGCTTCTCACAGTCAATGTGGATGGTCCTCTTGGGGCGCCGGGCTCGCCGCCGTCGCCCGCCACTGCCACTCCCAGCATTGGCCGGGCCCGAACGGCCATCGCTGCCTGACGGGTCTGCCAGCTCCACCTCTAGAGAGGCCGGAGGCTCCCCGGAGCCATTCTGCCCAAGCAGGAGGTCAGCTCTTGGTGCCCGGCCCAGGTTCTCCACCAGTAACCTCCCGTTACGGTACACGGTGATTCGGCGCTGGCACCGGACCAAGCCGGACCGGTCCCCCTGGGCTGTATCAGGTAGCGGTGGAGGTGGGGTTGGAGCTGGAGCAGGTCCAGCGTGCTTCACCCGCAGCACGCGGCCAGGCTTGACCTCCACGAAGGTGTAGCCATCGCTGGACTCGACGCTCTCCAGTGGCCCCACTGCATTGGGTGGTGCACCCAGTAGGCAGCAGAAGATCCCATCGGTCACCCCGGTCAGCATGGTGTGTCCTGTGAGTGGGGAAGACAGCTCAGGGGCCCTGGGAGCGGCCCCCACACCATCCACTTCCCACACCTGGAGCAGAAGTCACCCTTGGAGGCTCCATCTAGGCTCCAGTTTATGGAGGATCAGGGCCAAGATGTTCTGACTGGCCCAGCCAGCATGGCTCAGTGGTTGAGCATCAACCTATGAACCAGGAGGTCACGGTTGGATTCCTGATCAGGGCACGTCTGGGTTGCAGGCTCAATCGCCAGTGGGGGATGGGCAGGAGGCAGCCAATCAATGATCCTCTCTCATCATTGATGTTTCTCTCTCTCCTCCCTTCCTCTCTGAAATCAATAAAAATATTTAAAAAAAAGAAAAGAGAAGAAAGAAAGAAAGAAAGCCCTAAGCAGCTAGGTTTGGCTCAGTGTGTAGAGCATCGGCCTGCGGACTGAAGGGTCCTGTCCTGGGTTCGATTCCGGTCAAGGGCACATGCCCAGGTTGCGGGCTTGATCCCCAGTGGGGGGTTGTGCAGGAGGCAGCCAACTGATGGTTCTCTCTCATCATTGATGTTTCTATCTCTGTCTCCCTCTCCCTTCCTCTCTGAAATCAATACAAATATATTTTTTTTAAAAAGAAAGATGTTCTGTCTGGTCAGTGCCTGCTGGTGGTTGGCCATTCTGGTCTGTCCTAGAGAGGAAGGACCTGGCTATGGGGGCCCGAGAGGCATTTATAGGGAAGGTGGTGTAGTCAGGTGGACCTTCCTGGGGCGGGGGGGGGGCATTATGGCCCAGTCCAGAGGATCTCCCCCAGCTCAGATTTATAGCAGTTATGGTTTCCTAAGCCCATTCATTCATTTATCCATTCATTAATCCACTCACACATGCACTCTTTCATTAACTCTGTCACTGAGCTAGCATGCTCTGTGGGTCTCTGAAGGCATCTAAAAATGCCCCAATCCCAAGTCTCTAAACCTGGCTCCTGAAAGGTAAGGCCCCGGGGGACAAGGTTTGGGACGGAGCTCCAGAGCCTTTGTCCATCTCTCTCTCCAAGACCATGGGGCGCTGGATCTGTTTCACAGAAGGACAAGCTGGGGCTCCAACACTGGGTTCTGGGGGGCTGACACACAACCCCTAATGGTGGAGATGAAGATGGAGAAGGCAGTGTTCTGCCTGGGGGCTTCCAGGTCTCCATCCTGTTCCCTGGGCCACCTCTCCCGTGTCCATGGCAACCACAGGCAGTTACATAACTCAAGGGGGATATGGGCACATCACACCCCCATTGTCTCTAGGGCCTGGAGACGGGACCAACCCCTCCCCCATTCCCATCCTTGGCGCCGCGGGGATCACGCACGCCGCGGAAGGCCCTGGGTGACCCATACTTGCTGATGGAAGGGGAGCAGGCTGCACCCCGACCTCTGGCGGGTCCCAGCCCCAGATTGCAGAGGGGAACACCGATGCGCCACGGCAGCCCCCCTCCCTAATGCCAGGCCCCTACCTCCCGAGTGCCTATCAGCACCTTGGCGGGGTCAAGGCCACGGGGGCTCCACGACTTCCTAAGCACCCGAGCGCGGACTTTGTGGACACCCCCTCAGAAGTGGAAGCCCCGGAGGCCTCAATGTCCCCCTCCCAGGGCCCACTCCCCGCTCACCTCATCGAGGGCTCCGGGCCCGGGGCGGGGCGGAGGGTCCCGGGCGGAGAAGCCAGCGTCTGCCTGCAGGAGCCGTTTACATGTTGGCGCGGGGTCGGGCCGGGCGCGGCTACGCGGGACGGCGCGGGTCTGGAATGGTGGTCAAGGAGGGGGCATCCCACCGCCGCTGCTGCTGAGCTAACCGGCCCTTTAAGTCTCTCCCCGGGGGGCGGAGCCGCGCGCTGACCGACGGGCACCTCCGCCAATCGCAGCTGCGGACTGACCTGCCCTAGTTAGACTACCAATCAGAAGCGGCATCTCGGCATGGGGGCGGGCTGCAACTGCCCAGCCCGCTTCGGGGGCTTGCAGAGGTGGGAGGAGGTATTGGGCCTGGCCCAGGGCCGAGGAGGGGTCGCAAGTTGGTGCTCGAGGAGCTCAAGGGGGCGGGACCCGGAGCCCCCTCGCTGCGAATAGGATCCCCTCGGCCAGCCCCTGCCTCCGAGCTGCCCTGTCCCCTCCAAACGAAGCCCCAGGTCCTCTCTCTGTGCTGACCTTTCCCTGTAGAGACGTCCAGATCTTTACAATTTCAGGTGGGGAAACTGAGGCACAAGGTCACAAGACCAGTGGAGGCGGGTGGGCAGGGATGGGATTCGGATCCACGCTTGTATGACTCTAATTCCTGGAAATGTATTCCTTAAACCTTTACACAGAAGTCTTGGCGCTCTGGGAATTAGGGAGTCGGAGTTCTCCAGATCGGCCAGTTTAACCAGTGGCTCTCTGGTCCCAGCTGGAGTCAGAGAGCCCAGGGTCCAAAGCCACCCTCTGCCCTTTGCAGATATATGACCCCGGGCTGGTTGCTTCCCTGAGACTCCACTTATTTATCTATGCAATTAATCTCCTCGTGCGTTCTCTATGCAGGTAAAACAGCACGGTAAGCGCTCGATACTTTATGGGCATTATTGTACTGATGTAGTATTGTAGTGGTTTGCTAAATGACAATGCGGTAAGATGGGCTTCAGAGGACAAGGGGTTAACCATTCCTTGTCCGTTCCCAACTCCTAAAATTTGCTGCCTGAGCTGGATTAGGTCCAGCCACCCACTCCCGCCCACTTAGAGCGCTTCTGGGATAATATTCTTGCAGCAAACACACACTCCCTCCCCAAGCTGGGAGATGCTTGGGTGCTGCAGGGACTCAGCCCCGAGCCTGGCCCTGGAGGGGCCCCGGGCTTCTGGAAGTGGGGAGAGATACGTGGGGGCAGATTTGGGCCAGAGAGAGGAGCAGCATTTAGGGAGACAGTATCAGAGAAAGGGTTTTTTGTTGTTGTTGTTGTTGTTTTTAAAAATAAAGAGGAATAGGGGAGTACCAGGCAGGGGAGGGCATGGCTGAAAGTTAGGGTGTGTTCACATGCTTGCCAGAGGAGCTGAATATTTTCCCTGGGACAGTGGGGAATATATATATATATATATATTGATTTCAGAGAGGAAGGGAGAGGGAGGGAGAGATAGAAACATCAACGATGAGAGAGAATCATTGATCGGCTGCCTCCTGCACATCCCACACTGGGGATGGAGTCTGCAACCCCAGCATGTGCCCTGACCGGGAATCAAACCTTGACCTCCTGGTTCATAGGTCCATGCTCAACCACTGAGCCACAGATCTGAGTATTTGAAAGATCCTTCTAACCCTGGCCTGGTGGCTCGGTTGGTTAGTGTTGTCCGATGCACTAAAAGGTTTCGGGTTCGATCCCTGGTCAGGGCACTTCCAGGAGACAACCCATTGATGTTTCTCTCACCTCTCTCCTCTCTCTCTCTCATCATTATCTATACATCTATATATCTCCTCAGGTGAGGATTAAAAACAATTTTTTTAAAGTTCTAGAGCTCCAATGGGGGCACCGCCAAGGACAAGCTTGCCACTTGACTGGAAACTGGATCGCGGAGAGGAGCAGGGATCACCCCTCGGACTCCAGCCAACTCGAACTCAGGCCTCCTGGGCTTATCGCCAGGGGGCGGAGACTTGGCTGAGACCAGAGGAAAGCTGCCAGCCAACTGTGTACCATCTGCCGGGCTCCCGATGGACGTGGGAGGTTCAACCAGCCACTTCCTGCAGCTGTCACCAGCTGTGCCACCGCCACCCCGGGCGCCCTCGGCCAGGGGACGGGAGGAACTACAACTCCCAGCAAATCGCGGGACATAACGCGCAAGCCCAAGAAGTGCCGCTCGCCAGCTCCTACTGGTCCGCACTCCAACTACACACACCTGCAGGTGCGGCCGCTCACTCCTTGGGCACGCAGGATGTAGAACTACAACCTCGGAGGCCCCCTCGGCAATGAGGTTAGAGAAACTACATTTCCCAGAAGTCTCCGCTCCGCGGCTGCGGAGCCTGTGGGTTTCGGAATAGTTGACGCGGACGGGCCGCGTGATCCGAGGATAGACATGGCGCTCTTGGGCAGATCCCTGAGTCGCCCGCTGTGTCCCTTCAGTAGGGCTCTCCTGGATGTCAGGTGAGTCCTCCGGAGGATTAGGCCGGGATCGGGGACTGGGGCCGGCTGGTTACCGAGCACACGACTTGCCGGTGCCTTGCGCAGTTCCTGAGCGCCTTTTGCATTTAGGCTCAGTCCCTGCATGGATCGGGAGCCCAGGCTTAGAGAGGTTGAGCGCCAAGCCAAAGGCACACAGCGCCTCCTCTGACCGTTCTCGCTGTCTCTCTGCCCTTGCAGGTGGCTCCAGCCCCAAACCTTGTTGCGGCTGCCCGACGCCTGGGGGCTCCCCGCCGCGCAGCCCAGCCGGGGCAAGGCACGCGGGAACGAGTACCAGCCGAGCAACATCAAACGCAAGCACAAGCACGGCTGGATCAAGCGCTTGAGCACACCGGCCGGCGTCCAGGTCATTCTTCGCCGCATGCTCAAGGGCCGAAAATCGCTGAGCCACTGAGCGCCTCGCTGCCTCTGAGACCGCCCCCCCGCCCCCCCATTAAAGCATCTCCCTCGCTTCAGACCGCTCCTGCCGCTGTTCTTGTGAGGAGGTTGGATGACTCAGACATGAGTGCTCCTCCGATTGTGGGGTTGGCCCAGGGCAAAAGTCTGGGGTTGGGCCAGAAAGGGGAATAGGAAGTCAGAATCCAACCTATGGCAACAGTCCACGGAATAGTACGTGAACCTCGTCGTGTGCCCACCCATTTCTGACCACCAGTTACCTGCAGTCCCTCCTGCTCCCTCCTGTGTGTGTGTGTGTTTAAAGCAAATCTCAGACATGGTGTTATTTCTTATGGAAATATTTAAGAATGCATTTCTCCAAGATAAGGACTCTTTGAAACATAGTCACAAAATTTCTCACACTTAGAAAAAGTAATTCCTTAATGTCATTAAATGTCTACTAAATTGTCACTTGTCTCACATATGTCATGACTTTCACAGGTCTGAGAGCGCTGTGGGGAAGAGGGAAGGGTTTGAATCCTCCACCTGCCCCTTGGGAACGTGCCACATGACCCTCAGCAAGACCTTAGCCCTCTGAGGCTCATTTGGCTCCTATAAAAGAAGGTATTTCTTCTTTGCTGTGTTCTTAGAGTAATAGTAGCTTCCACTCAGTAACTTATTCCGTCTTTCCTGTTTTGGGTCCTGTCCTCATCAGGCTGTCACTTGAGGGGTGGGTGGTTGGGGCTTGATTTGTACCCAGCCAGTCTGGACACAGCAAAGTCAGGGCTATGGGAGCCCAGAGAAGACGCCTGACTTGGCTTTGGGAAAAATGCAGTCGGGCCCTAACCAGTTTGGCTCAGTGGATGGAGCATCGGCCTGTGAACTGAGGGATCCCAGGTTTGATTTCTGTCAAGGGGATGTACCTTGGTTTCCGGCACATCCGCAGTAGGGGGCGTGCAGGAGGCAGCTGATAGATGTTTCTGACTCTCCATCCCTCTCCCTTCTCTGTAAAAAAAATCAATAAGATATATTAGAAAAAGAAAAATGCAGTTGGACAGATACCTGGCGGAGGTAGCAGGATCCAGAAAGGACCCAAAGGGAGAGGGGAGTGGACAGGGTCAGGATAAAGGGTGGACAAGGGAGGCTGGAGGGACTCAAAATTTGGAGCCCAGGAGGTGGGACTGGATCCTTGGGGGGCTGGGGAGCCATGGGAAGTGTTTGAGCAGAGAGTCTGATTTGTGAGTTCAAAGACTTTCACAGAACTAGTGCGGGAGCTGTTTAGATATGCCGAGACCCCGGGGAGGCTGGGGGTGTTATGGTGGTCCCCCCGTCCTCCGGGGCTGCTGTGGGAACCCGATAAGAACCGTATGAAAAAGCCTAGTAAACCAGAAAGAGGAAACGCTGGCTGAACCTCCTGGAGTTGCGGACTGCAAATCCCAAGAGGCTTCGGGGGCGCGGCCCCCGCCCACTTCCGGATTTTATTGCCCTATCGCTTCCCAGTCCCGGGCGGGGTTTTGCTCCTTCAACCGAGCTTGACCACGAAGAGAGGAGTGGCGACCAATGCGTCCGTGACTTCTCCGTATCTGGCCAATGTGAGCGCGCGGAGACCGTATATCTTGGGGCGGGGCTAGAGGACGGACCAATGACGGGAGGGCGACGCCGCCATCAGGGCAGGCTGTAGCGTGGCTGGAAGTTACTGTGCGGCGGCGGCGGCTAAGAAGGCGGCTGTGGTGGCGGCGGTGGCGGCTGAGGCAGTAGCTGAGGCGGCGACAGAGGAAGCAGAAGATGGTAAGGGCGGCCGCCAGGCCCGTGCTACCCCTTCGCTCGACAAAATGGCGCCGCGGGCCCACCCACTTCCAATAATCCCCGAATCCCCTACCTCCCTGCCAGGCCCTTCTGGCCCGGCCCCGCCCCTCCCTCTGACCTATGGCCTTCGACCTATGGCCTTCGACCCCTGGGTCCTGCTGAGAGCTTCCTGCTGACCCCTCCCTGGCTTCTCCGACCCCGACCCGGACCCCACCTAGGATTCTAGGCCCGGGCACCTCATTCATTTCCGGGTCCCGGTTCCTCTGAAATCGCCCAGGGTGGGGTTGGGATCCCCTGAGGTCCCCAGCCCTGGCCTAGTCCTCTGCGCGCCGGGCCTTGGGGTGTGGGGGGCCGGTCTGGGCATCCGGGCGGGGGAGGGGGCTGGACATCGTGACATGCGGGGCTTTGACGCCAAAGGAAGTGCGACATCGCAGGCTGTTCTGGTCCCCAGAGCCTTGACCCCACCGCCACCGTTCAGGGCCCCCCGACCTGCCCTTAAGGGGGAGCAGCTTCATCTCTCGCATCCCAGACCCGTTTCCTGGTGAATGTGAATAGCAGTAGTCCAGGCCTCACAGGGTTGGGACACTTCAGGGAACTGACATCATAAAGGGTTTAAGACAACGAGCAGGTAACCGATGAGCTGTGCGACTCGGGGTGGGTGACCTCCTCTCCTCCCCAGCTTCTCATTTTGAAGTGGGGACGCTGCTGCCCGGTCGCTGGGAGTTTACAAGCCCCTTTGGGCCAGCTGCTCGTCCTGCACTTGGGGATGCTGGTTCTTTGGGGCTGGGGTCCCCAGCCTGTAAAGTGGGATGGTGACCAGCCTCAGAGTTGGGTCGCCCCCCCTGCCACTGTTTGGCCTCCCCAGGGCCGACGGGGTGATGGGAGCTTTTGTCTGGATAAGTCAAAGCCCCAGGGCCCAGCCCACACATCACGTTCTTGGGATGTGGTGGTGGTGGTGGGGGGGGGGGGGAGGCAAAAGAAGACACCTGCTCAGGCAGGAGATGGGGGGGGGGTCCTAGAGTGTGGGTACCCAAGCCAGGGCTCTGCCGGCTCCCCCTCCCCTCCCCCTCACATCCTGAATCTGCCCCTGGGTCCCCCCGAGGTCCCGGGACTGCCACCCCCTGCCTGGTTGCCTGCCCCAGCCTCCTCCCTGGTCTCCTGGCCTCCATGCTGCCCCCAGGCAGATCGCAGTTTACCTGGCACTAGAGGGAGGGTTGGAAGATGTAAATCAGATTCTAACACTTGCTACCTTGAGAAACACTCCAGGGTCTTCCTTTTGTAACCAGATGAGCCCCGGGGGCAGCCAGGCCCCTGCCCGGCCTCTCTGGCCCTGTTTCCGCATTCTTTGTGCCTTTGCACTGCTGCTCTGCTGCTTGGAGCTCGCCCCTGTGAGCATCACCTGCTCCAGGGCCCGTGACTGGCCTCAGTGTCTCTTTGCACACCACTCTCTTCCTCCTCCCGCTTTGGGTGGGTTTCTGTTGGGCTCCTCCAAGGGGGTTGACACAGATGTTCAGTGAGTGTCAGTGCATGGCTGTGGGCCAGCTGTGGCTGGGATTCGTCTGCTGAGGTGAGGATTGCTCCCTGTGTCTGAGGCCTTGTTGTCCCTCTAAGCTGACAGGAAGTACAGGCAGAATCCTGTCTTCATAGGTTTATTCAGCACAAATGCGTCGATGCTAACAGGTGCCTTCTAGGGAGCTCTGTGCACAGCTCTCTCCCTTGTTGTCTTACTGAGACTCAGAACAAGCCTGGAGGGGGCCCTGCTGTGACCCCCGTTCACTGGAGAAGCTGCCAGGTCCCACAGCCCGGGAGGAGCCAAGCCAGGACGGAGTGTTCTCACCACTCTTGCTGGCCCCATGTCAGCCCTCAGGCTCAGGTGGAGTTAGCCCTGCCTTGCCCTCTGCCCTTAGGGGGTGCCAGTCCAGGGAAGGAGGTGGACACGTAGACAGACGGCCTCCTTGGGGCATGGACGTGGCTCTGGCAGAGGCCCCTGAGGGTGTGCAGAGGGCAGGGCAGGGGGTGTGGAGCTAGGCAGCTGTTTCCCACGTGCAGAAAGGAGCAGCGTGCCTGGGTGGTGGCACAGGCTGGGCTGAAGGTGTGTGTGGCAGGAGGCCAGTGGGGCCCAAGCCCAGCCAGAGCCGTGAAGGCTTTGAGACAGGACCAGGACCACTCCTCACGAGTCAAGTCTCGGTGCCGTGTCATTGCCGCTCGGCAGCCCTCCCTCCCTCCCCCACCCCTCGAAGACCAGCAGACTACTCTCCACTGTCTGGGCCTCACACAGCACCCCGTGCCCTGTCCTCAGGGCCATTTGCCTTCACTGTGCAGCTCTTTGGCCCATACCTGCGTCCCCTGCACTGGGTCCTCCCAGGGCCAAGAGCAGGTCTGCGCCCTCTCAGTGCCCTGGTGCAGGCCTGCCACACAGTAGGAGCTGAAGAAAGCCTGGTCTGGCTGCATGAAGCTGGCCCCCTAGTCTCAGGCCGAGGTGGGACAGGGGTCCTGGGTAAGGGAGGGTTGAGGGGCTTTGAGCTGGCTTTGGAGGAGTAGGTCACCCAGGTGAGAGAGCCACCTCCAGGGAGGCTTGTCCCCCCCAAGGTCTCGTTGGGGCTCCCCCAGAGGTGAGGACCCCTGCTCCTGCCTGCCCCAGATGGTGGGGGCAGATCTGAACAGCGGCTTCCCCAAGGGTGCAGCATCTAGGCTCAGGCATGGGGATGGACAGCCCCCCCCCCCCCCAGGGGATGGTTATTATAGCCTCTTGGGGCTCCGAGCCCTTGGATTTCAGACAGGAAAACTGAGCTCCTGGCATGTCACACAGCAGGAGCTTGGCTTCTCAGGTTGGGCAAACCTGGATTCAAACCGCCTTCCTCATTTTCTCGTTGGGGCCACATGATCTCAGATGAGTGCCATGTGACCTTTCTGCCTCAGTTTCCTCATCCTGTGAGTGATTCCAGATGGGGAAGCTCCTGGCCCAGGCCAGGCCGTCCCATCCCAGGCACGATGACAGTGCTGCACTCCCGCTGTCCTGGCAGTCACTCCCTGCCACAGCTCTCGGCCTTATTCCTCCCCTTGCACACCCCTGCTCTCGTGCCTCAGTTTCCTGAGGTGGACATGGCCTCATTGGCCTTTATTTGTCCATCTTGTGGTTCCGTCTCGTCCCTCCTGCCCCCAGGGTCAGGGTGCTCCTGCCCCCAGAGTTAGGGTGCTCCTGCCCCCAGAGTCAGGGTGCTCCTGCTCCAGAATCAGGGTGCTCCTGCCCCCAGGGTCAGGGTGCTCCTGCCCCCAGAGTTAGGGTGCTCCTGCCCCCAGAGTCAGGGTGCTCCTGCTCCAGAATCAGGGTGCTCCTGCCCCCAGAGTTAGGGTGCTCCTGCCCCCAGAGTTAGGGTGCTCCTGCCCCCAGAGTCAGGGTGCTCCTGCCCCCAGAGTCAGGGTTCTCCTGCCCCAGAGCCATTGCCCTTGCTCAGCTGACCCCAGAGTGTCAGGGACAAAGGACTTTTCAGGAGTTGGGCAGTGAATGAATTCTGTTGCCGGCTCCCCAGCACCTTGTGGGCCTGAGACCTGTAGCGCGGAGTCTCTGCCCCCAGACAGCGGGTGGCAGGGAGGAACAGCCTGCTCTCTGTCTCTGGCCCTCACCCTGGGAGGCCTCCCCTCTTCGTGGGGAAGCCATTAGGTGT